AGGGAGAGAGAGAAAGAAATTTCTGAAACCAGAGGGAGAGGAGAGGGAGAGGGAGAGAGAGAAAGAAAGAGAGAGAGAGAGAGGAGGCAGGTAGTCCGTCGCAGCCCTCCGTCGTCGCCTCTGCCCGATCGTCGCAGCCCCGCATCGGTCGATCGTCGTCGCAGCCTCCGCGCCTCCGCCCCTCCTCCGCCTTCGCCCCCCGCCTCCGCCTCCACCCCGATATGTTGGCCCCCTCTAGTCCCTCCTCCTCCCCGCGCCTCCGGCCCTCCTCCGCCTCCACCCCGATATGTTGGCCCCCTCCAGTCCCTCCTCCTCCTCCTCCTCCGCCCTCCTCCAGCCTCTCCCTCTCCCTCCTCCTTCTCTCTCACTTTTTCGAGCCAATTTCGAGCCGAAACTCTCGAGCTACCAATCGCTGCCGTAAAAATAATTCATGTAAAATAAGCAATTTTATTATTGTAGAATAAAAAAATAAGTGAAATAAGAAACCTAGATAAATAGAAAATTAAAGATCTCAATCTTAAATAATAATTCTTATCAAATATTAAAATAATAGAAATTAAATATATGATTTTTTAAATTCCAATTATGTTAAAACTCGCTTGAACTTATGCGAATGGTAACTTAGATTTTACTTCCAACAATATATATCTTTCTTTTTATTCTTCTTCTTTGATTACCTTGGTTGTGACTATGGATGTGGATGTAAATATAGATGTGGGATGATTAAGGTTGTGACCATAACAAATTCAATCGAGATTGCAGGTTCTGGCTGGTGTGGTTATTATTATTGTCGATATGGTGGTGATGGACACTGCTGCTAAATCCCAGTTTCGCACAATCTCTAATGCTGTGGAACCATTCTAATCAGAGACGATTGGAGGGCTGGTAGGAAGCTACTAGGCTTGTTTCCCCAATTATGAAATTTTGGTTCCGTTCCTCGAGTGCATAAAAGAAATTGACATAACATACCACAAATATTTGTATTTCATCACAAAACATTTGAATTTTTTTATGATGTGCTTTCTTTTAGGGGTGTACATCATAAATATTCCCTTTTTAATATTGGTGAGAAGTATCATTTTTTTCTTCCCCCCTTTTTATCTCATTTTCTTTGAGTGCCAATATCCAAAACTACATATATACAAGAAATTGATCAAATATCACTTTTCCTACCACATCTTTTTTGGAGTCTTGCCAAAGGAAGCTTTCATTACATTCAAAATTCATTCTTGTTGTCTAGTCTTATGCCTCAAAGCGATGTGAGATCAAATAGACATAATTGAATCGTGAGTAATCATCAATAAATGTAAGGAAATAAGAAGCACCATGGCGTGCCTTTACATTCATAGGTCTGCAAATGTCAGGGTGAACTAACTCTAGAGGATATAAAGCCCTAGGTGCCTTTCCAAAAGACTTCCTATAGGCTTTTCCTGGCAAACAATGTTTACACAGAGGTAGACTTACATTAGCAATATACCCCAACATGCCTTCTTTAGCTAGTCTAATCATTCTATCTTTGCCTATGTGACCAAGTCTAGCATGTCAATTAACAGAATTTAATGAGTCATCTTCACATGTCACATAAGAATATGAGGAAAAATCCAAATCTAGCATAAAGTAACCATTGGAAAGAAAACCATGTCCATACAAGACTTTATTTACATAGAAATCCAACTGATTGCCATCAAAATGAAAACTAAAACCAAATCCTAACAAAGCAATAACTAATAAAAGATTACATTGGACACCAGGCACATAAAAGCACGTCATGGAGGAGAAAGGGGCGCCCCAAACGTGTCTTGAGCTAATAAGAACCAACTCCAAGGACATCCTCGCAAGTTTCATTACCCAAGGCAACGTATTGTCTCCTAACATGTATCTTTATGTAATCTACAAACCCAACTCTTTCTCTAGTTATGTAGCGGGTTGCTCCTGAGTCCACAATCCAACCATGGAGAGAATTAGCAACACATACATGTGAACAAACACATCTACTAAAAGCGTTAAAGAAAAGATTTACTTTCTCTATATCAGGGCATTTCCAAGAAAAGTGACCTAGCTTCCCACAGTTATAGCACTTGACTTTGGTTTTATCTTCGTTTCTAGAGTGCTTGCCTCGACGATGCTTCATCACATTACCTTGCTTAGGACCAAGGTTACCAGCTGCACCACCGTGCCTTCCTTATTTGTTGCGCTTAAGCCTGAATGCCTTACAATGCCTATCTTGAGCGACAAGGACAGTGTTGTGGTGCAACCCCATGCGCTCCTCTTCAAGCTCAAGGTGGCGAGAAATATCAGCAAAATTCTTGATATTCTTATTGTGTATAAGCACAAGTTTCATTTGCCCCCATGAATCTGGCAAAGAACGTATCACAGCTGCAACCTGTTGCTCATCAGTAAGAATGTTACCAGCAGCCTTCAAATCACATATTATGGCTGATATAGCTCTGAGATCCTCAACCATTGAGTGTTCTGGATCCATAGCATATTGCTCAAATTTTAAAATTAGAGCACACAACCTAGTTGCAGATGTGGTCCCATAAGTAATTTTCAATTGATTCCACATATCATGAGCAGTATGGCTTACCTCAAACTCCCCAAATAGATCATTGTGCATGCTGCTAAGCATAGTATAGCGCACCAATCTCTCCTAACCCATTTCTCATAGTTTTCCATGTCATGGAGATGTTGGGCAGTGGTCGCTTCCTTAGGACAGATCATAAGGGTGGTCAAAGTATCTAGGACTTCTTGTTCATTAAGCAAGTATTGAATTTTTCCGTGCCACATATTATAATTGGACCCATCCAATTTTTCTCCTTTGGTGAGGTCAGTAACATTCTTAGAGGCCATTCACTAATGGTATTGCACAGGGTTTGACATTAGCACACATTTTTTAATTTTAAATTTTATTCTCAAAAACACAATTGGCTTACAATATATTCACTTACATAGAGAAATCGAAAATTTCGCTAAGCTCATAATCCTCTCCCTCCATATGAATTAAAATATAGCACCCAATTAATTTTTAAATAAAATTATATAAGAGGAAAAACCATCTCTTAAATTCATAACATGAAACCATGCATAATGTGCGACACCCCAAATTTTACTAAAAAATTGTAATCAATGTAATGTCACTACAAAGTCCTTGGTCAATAACCAAATAAGATCATAGGAAGGTGAGAGAAGTCAATATAGCCTCCCTTCTAAGTTCAATCACCTTAGATAGTAAAACTATCATTTGGATAGATCTTAAGAGGTATTAACATAAGGTTTCATAAGTAACGCAGGGATAAAACATCCCTCAACTTTTCTTTGCTTTAGGCAAAGTAGAGATTGAAGAGGGATAATAAACAAAGTTACAATACTAAAAGGAGTCATCAAATTATACACAATAATTAATATGATAGGAAAAAAATAACTTTCCAAAACTTCCTCCGAAAACAACGATTTAGACCAAAAATCTTTGAAAAAACATAACTTTTTCGATATAACTCCAATTACAGCTCATTTTATATGGATGGAAAGCTCACAAAGAGTACTTTCAAAATATGTAAATTTTAGTTACAATAAATGAAAATTTTGATAAAAAAATCTTGAGATAAGAAAACTGCTCTTATGGAGTTTTCCAAAATTTCTTATCAACATGCCATGATATTAAATAATATTAAATGAAACATGAATAAAACTAATCGATGACATGCAAATGATATGAGGCAAAAACAAGCAATATAACGCTGATACCAATGAAGGAAAAATATACAGGTAATCATATTACCTAATGCGGAAATGGTTTGAATGGATGCTTGAATTACGAGTCTCGTCTAGAAAACCTCCCGTCAATTGAGAAACTACTAGAGTTTCTCAATATTTATCCACACTCCAAATTCCTAGACTTTCAAGATGGTAGCCTCAAGATAGATGAATATAGAGAGAACTTATTATTTTTGGTGTATCTACACAATGTTGAGCATGAATCCTTACATAGGCATATATGGCAAACCATGTGTGCCTCATGGTTAGGCTAAACCATGTGTCCCTTATAGTTTCCAAGACCATGTGTATTTCATGGTTTGGTCATATATGGATGGCCTTCAAAATTAGGCCATACCATGTATATCATGAGATCACACCATATGTATCTACCACATGGTTTCCAACATATACAATAAAAGATCATTCCTAAATTAACTATCACTTAAAAGGGAAATACAATATTAAGGAATAAAAATAATTCATGTAAAATAAGCAATCCTATTATTGTAGAATAAAAAAATAATTAGCGAAATAAGAAACCTAGATAAATAGAAAATTAAAGATCTCAATCTTAAATAATAATCCTAATCAAATATTAAAATAATATAAATTAAATATATGATTTTTTTAAATTCCAACTACGTTAAAGCTCGACTGAACTTATGCGAATGGCAGCTCAGATTTTACTGCCGACAATATATATCTTTCTTTTTTTTCTTCTTCTTTGATTACCTTGGTTGTGACTATGGATGTGGATGTAAATATATATATGTGGATGATTAAGTTTGTGACCATAACAAATTCAATCGAGATTGCAGGTTCTGGCTGGTGTGATTATTATTGTCGAGATGGTGATGATGGACGCTGCTGATAAATCCCAATTTCGCACAATCTCTAATGCTGTAGAAGGGTGTACATCATAAATTTTCCCTTTTTAATATTGGTGAGAAGTATCATTTTTTTTTTCTACCCCTTTTTATCTCATTTTCTTTGAGTGCCAATATCCAAAACTGTATATATACAAGAAATTGATCAAATATCACTTTTCCTACCATATCTTTTTTGGAGTCTTGCCAAAGGAAGCTTTCATTACATTCAAAATTTATTCTTGTTGTCTAGCTTTAAATTATGAAATTGTCTCTTGAAAGTAAATAATAATGGTGTGCTACATACACCAATTAGTGTACTAACTAGTGTACCAACACTAGTTATGACATTATTATTGATCTCACTCATTAATCACATTACAAATACCAAAAACCTTTTAAATTATGTCACATCATCAATTAGAACACTAGTTAGTACACTAATTAGTACATATAGCATTATTCAAATAATAAAACCCACAAGACATACATAGTATTAATAACTCGCACAATTGACAGAAATGCCCTTCAACTCCTCACCCTTTTCGGAATGAACCTTCTCCTCATCATTCCAATTTGTTTAGGACTCAATCCAAATGCCTTCTCCAAAAGCTCATCATTAATTCCAGAACCAAAAATTACAGAAGGGATTTTCTGCATTCCTGGATTTTGACTGTTAAAGCTTCCGAAAATTGTAGCCGTCGATTTTCCAACATTCATCTGAAAATGTACTAGGCCCCTAGGGAACACCATGACCTCCCCTTGCTCAGTCACCTTAGCGAAAACCCGGTTTGTTGAATCCACAAAACCCGAATAAACTCTTCCTTGCACCACATACACAATTTCGGTGGCTCTTGGGTGGAAATGCGGAGCATTAAACCCACCAACTTTGAGATCGGCACGTACAAATGACATCCCTAATGTGTTAAGACCCGGAAGATTTGTCGGGTTAACGGGTATTGTCGAGAGGCCCGTGTCGGAGAAATTTCCAGGGGATTTGATGCCAGAAAAAATGAAATCGTCCGGTGACACCTCTGTGGAGTTTTTGCAAGGGAGATTGTCGTACCGGGTGGTTCTAATAGTGTTGAATTTCGTGTTGGGTATGCAAAAATCTTGAACCGGGTCTGGATCCGACTCAAATGTTGTATGGGAAAGGAGGGAGAAAATAACTAACAAAACTGTCAGTTTTGGAGACATTTTTTCTTCTTATGCTTTGACTGGTACTAGGCCAGGAGTGAAATTAGATGGGTTTTATAGGAGTGACATGTGGAGGGAAATTACTTAACTGCCCCTTGTATCTTTCATTTGGCAAACTCTTTTTTTTTTTAATTATTGCACTTGATAACGATTTGGTCCCAATACTCCTGTCAATTTGAGTGTGATAATGATGTTGATAATGTTGATCAATTCTTCATCTAGTTATCATGACAGGAAATAATTCATATTGGATTTGATTTGTCTCTCGTTGAAAGTTGAATTGGATCAAATAATTAAGATTTTTGACTAGTAAAAATCATTAAACGAAAAACTCTTATCAATAAGAGTTTATTAAAATATATCCCAATTAAACCTTTGTCGTTTAATGACTCTTATGGGTCGGAGATCTCAACTGCCTGATTTAATTAAAATTTCAATTTGGAAACAAGCCATTTTCATTCATATTGATTTTGCTTTGTGTATATTGATAGTAATGTAACACCGTAATTTAAGCAAGTTTGTGGAAGTCATCGAGGACTGGATGTTGGGGATAATAATTTGGTGAATTGTATGCTCTTTGCTTTTGAAAGAAGGAAGATGGTTGATCAATAATGACCCATTCCACTTAATATGGGGATCCGATGATCCGCAATCAAATGAATTTATTTAGGGGTTGTTGAGGGATACCCAAAGGAAAAAAAAATAAAAATAAGGAGTTAAATTGTTGACCTATTTTCTAATAGTTTAAAGTTTTAGAACAATTATAGGCTTCCTTTGGGAAATATTTGTGTTTGGAAATATGTTTAGATTTTTTTTATAGTTGAATGTGAAGGTTGTGAGAGAAAAATTGAAAAGGGGTTGTTGAGGGATACCCAAAGGAAAAAAAAATAAAAATAAGGAGTTAAATTGTTGACCTATTTTCTAATAGTTTAAAGTTTTAGAACAATTATAGGCTTCCTTTGGGAAATATTTGTGTTTGGAAATATGTTTAGATTTTTTTTATAGTTGAATGTGATGGTTGTGAGAGAAAAATTAAAACAATTATGGATTTGATGTGAGATTTTATCTTATTGACTATATATTTTAGCCTTTTTTGTTTTTGTTTTTTTTTTGTTTTTGTAAATTTTATCCCAAAAAACTAAAAAAAAAATCATTTGCCAAACACCCTCATAATAGTTATCGTGTGAGGAAGTTCATATTTCAAATGTCGTAACTTTTATATGTTGTTATGCACTCTAATTTACATGTAACCTTTTCGTGTTATAACCTTTCCTTTTATATCTACTAGTGGGTGACACAAGCGATACGTGTACAATTTATATAAGTAAAAATAAAAATAAATAATAAAGAAATTAATATTATAATATATAAGTTGCTTAAATAATAAATATGTTCTTAATTAAACCCAAAGTCTTGAATTCAAACTATACTTGTGTTGTAATATAATAATTTTTTTATTTTAGCATATAAAAATCTGCCATGTACTTTTTATTTTAGTATATAAAAATCTATCACATGGTATGAGGAGAAGGTTTGAATACCAAGTCTAATGTTCACATATATCATAGTATAAATTATTATGCATTTTGTTCTATATTTGTTTTCTCCATTATTTTTCACTTTATTTTTTACATGTTGATACACCATGCTCAGTCTGTTTTGTCCTATCTAATATTTGCTGTTGTGCATTTTGTTCTGCTTGCATATACACATTGTTCTATTTAATTTTTTTTCTCCCTGCGTGCACGAACTTTTGGGACAAGAGTAATGTTACAATAATCACTTATTTTTATCCTCTTATCTTATCATTTAGTTGTAAACACTGCATTGAATATATAAACTCATTACACTTGTGTTAACAACTAAGATGGTCAGGGCCGGCCCTCAGTTTCAGGGGCTAAGGCGAAATAATTTTTCGGAGCTTTTTTAGATATTTATAAAAATAAAAATAAAAATTACTTTGTTTGGTTTAGAGTTTTTAAAAATAATTGTCTCAGTTTTTAATTCGTATTTTTTATATTTTTTGTATTTGGTAACTTTTAAAAAAAAAACACACACACACACAAATATTATAGTTTTAAGCGTATCTAAATTAGATGTATCTACAAAATAAATAAATAAAAATTAAGTAAAATATATTTTTTAAAAATACTAAAAAACACATAATTGGGCCATAAAGAGAGAAAAAAAATAGGCCACACAAAATTAGGCTAACGACTAATACATATACATATATTTTATATTTTATTTTTTTAATTGGACTAACAACTAACACTTATAAATATTTTTTAATTGGGCCTTTTATCAATTGGGACAAATATATTTTTTGAGGCCCCTTTAAAATGGCCTAAATTAATTAAACAGAATTGAGCCAATAAATTTGGGAGCCTTTTTTTGAACCTAATTTTTGGGACCCTAGGTACAGGCGCCCTGAAGCTGGTAAGCATAATATGATATAAAAAAATGACAAGTATAAAAGCGATTAAGGATCTAACAGAATATACTTTTGACATCTAAGAGGATGACAATTTACAAATTACAGACGTCGGGTTTCATAGGCTTAAATAACAGTGCAACTGTTGAGTTCAACTTTGCATCTTTTTACTCAAATGTTGTAATGCTTAGGATTTTTATTTATTTATTTTTTGTTTGTTTTTTTCAACGGATAGGAGAGAAATAAATTAAATAATTTTTCAGAGTTTTTTTAGATATTTATAAAAATAAAAATAAAAATTACTTTGTTTAGTTTAAAATTTTTAAAAAAAATCGTCTCAGTTTTCAATTCGTATTTTTTTTATTTGGTAACTTTTTTAAAAAAAAAATACACACACACAAATATTATAATTTTAAGCGTATCTAAATTAGATGTATCTACAAAATAAATAAATAAAAATTAAGTAAAATATATTTTTTAAAAATACTAAAAAACACATAATTGGGCCATAAAGAGAGAAAAAAAAAATAGGCCACGCAAAATTAGGCTAACGACTAATACATATACATATATTTTATATTTTATTTTTTTAATTGGACTAACAACTAACACTTACAAATATTTTTTAATTGGGCCTTTTATCAATTAGGACAAATAGATTTTTTGAGACTCCTTTAAAATGGCCTAAATTAATTAAACAGAATTGAGTCATTTTAAGTTTTTAATAAAGACTAATAAATTCGAGAGTCTTTTTTTAGACCTAATTTTTTGGGCCCTAAGTACAGGCGTCACCAGCCGGCCCTGAAGATGGTAGGCCTAATATGATATAAAAAAATGACGAGTATAAAAGCGATTATAAGGATCTAACAGAATATACTTTTGACATCCAAGAGAATGACAATTTACAAATTACAGACGTCGGGTTTCATAAGCTTAAATAACAGTGCAACTGTTGAGTTCAACGATGCATCTTTTTACTCAAATGTTGTAATGCTTAGGATTTTTTTTCATTTATTTTTTGTTTGTTTTTTTCAACTGATTGGAGAGAAATAAATTATGACAAAGTTGCATAGCGTAGTGATAAAACTCGAATGCAGACATCATGTCTGGTAAGAGAGCACCTCTTCTACTAGGCCAACTCCAAAGGTTGAATCACTATTTTTTCACAACTCCATGTCCTTGTTTTGAGGCTGTAACCGGGTTTAGAGTACTCCTAACGAAGAGGGTTAAGTTGTGAACTTGATTTGGAAGAGCTAATAACACTGCAATAAAAATATTTAAAGATAACATTCACAAAATACACCAGAACACATGATTCAGTTCTGTTGACTGTAAATTGAAGAAAAGGCACAAAGCCTAGTGTCGTACACATTATCGATCCATTCGTGTGACATGATGCAGCTTATGGGCAGTGTTCATGACTTTCAAATTTCAAGAATATAATTATAATTTGTAAGGGAAAAAAAAAACACCCTGAGTTTTGGTGGTTATGATGAGATATTTTAATTTCTGCATTTAGATTATCAGATTTTAACTTATTAGGAGCTGCAGAGCTGCATAAAACAAGGCAAAATGTATCACTTATTCAGCATTACCATATATGACCAACCGCATTGCTACATCTACCAAATTTCGGATGCCCGAATTATCTGAATTTGTACAAGTCAATTATCCGGCCGGTCATCCGATAGGATGCCAGTTGATGCATCAATAGGTGAGGGTGACAGCCACGGTTAATAATGTGATAATCGCGATTGACAAAGACGACAGCCGCGGTTAACAAGAATGACGTCAGTCGTCCAGCTGGATGTCTAGCTTATGTAATTCGGACAAGCTCAAATTTGGTAGTTTAATAATTTTTCTATGACCAAACAAGGCAATATATATTACTCATGCAATTGCATTTTCATATATGAAGTACAAGGTTCGCATGTTTCGCATGGAAAGTAGATATCTTATTTAGTTGCACTTGCAACCATCATTCAAATGCGGCCCTGTAAGTCTTATTTGATAAGTTTTTGGAATGGTATCAAGAAACTATGAGTAGCTAATGCTTTGAACAGGAGAAGTTTTTGTAATTCAATAATTCAAGAAGACGTAGCAACAACTAAGCAATCCTACTCTAATTTACTAGTGCAGTTTCCCAACAGAGTTTGTGTGCATTTCCGTTTTCCAGTTTCCGTGCTTTCAAAAACAAATACAGTAAGTAGTTAAAAAACATTCCTTGCTTTCATATCATTTTCAATTTTGCGCAAAATAGTTTTTAAAAATTCAAAAATGACTCTTTAGTGTTTCCTAAAAGTGAGTTATTTCAACACCAAAAAAAGAAAAAAATCCAAAAATAGATTTCAAAAACCGTTTATCAAGTTTTACTAGTATCTTCTAGAAAACAAAAATACAACCAAGCAGATCAAAATTTTGGAGTTGTATTTTGAGTTTCTTCTTTACGTAATAAAATATAAGAACCTCACAAGAAAGAATATCAAATCAAGTACAAACATGATCCTAAGTGCCACAAAGGGAAGCATATCTTATGCATCCTGAAGGGAAGCTCCCAGTTTATATTTAGGTGTACCTCTGATATCTAAAAGATTGAAAGCTGAAGATCGTAATCAGCTTAAAGAGAATTACCTCTCTCACTGCTTCCCAAGGGACAACATCATTTACCTTTCTCACTGCTTCCAATCTACCATTTATTCCAATCTATAAGTTCTTACGATCTACCATTTATTCCAAACATTCCAAACTCAACATCAATTTATTCCATTTATTCCAAACTTATAGATTGCCCACATCCAATCTATAAGTTCTTACGATCTACCATTTTTGCTTGGAGCTTGTTACAATCTACCATTTATTCCAATCTATAAGTTCTTTATTGATGTTACAATCTACCATTTGTGAACTGAATGGAATTCTAGAGTCTTCAACCAAAGAGCCAATGAGTCATTAGAAAGTTCAAACAGGGAAGGTAATGTGAGGGCTAGAATAAGCTCTTGGAGGATGGTCCATAATAGCCAAGTAAATTGGCAACTGGTCCGGGGTATGCCTATGGCTTGTATTCTGTTTGCCTCTTTTCAACAATTATTAATTACCAAAAAAAAACAATGTATAAACATAATCACTTTCATAGTATGGAAATTCTGAAATTATTTTTAAGATTCACGAGTATACAGAATGTTTTACAGCAACAGATATAGATATCAGAGGTCAGCAACAATTTATAACATTAGTAAGCATAAAAATACCACAATAAGATCAAATATTATGCCTTTTTTTTTTTTTTTGGTTATTGTTAAGAGATCAACTAATAGTAGTCTTAACACAGAAACTATGCCTTTAGTGGGTACAAGAAGGGTTCTGGATCGAACGCCATATAATTTTTTTTTATCAGGACAAGCTCTCCAAATGTATAACATGAAAGGGTAAAATTATGATTCAAGTAAGTAGTACGTTCAAGTAAGAAGCAAATCACAGCATCAAATGCAAATATGCAATATACTAGAGGCACCATCTTCATCACAGCTCAGGTTTTTCAATTTGGGCACTTGACAGAGTAGTAACAGAATAAAAAGAAAACCGAGTTTTGAAGAAAATAACATTTCAAGAACAATTATTACCAACATCCATTCAAAAGCATGGGCTCTGACTCGAAATATTCTTTCTTTTACTTTGAGAAAGGAATTGAGAATGATATTGCAATGAGGTTTAGAATTACAATCCAAAATAAGCTAGCTGAAAGGTACTGAATATGAAATTCTCAACCATAGCAAAAATGAAAAACAAATATGAAAGCAGCAAAAACCCACAACCTGAAATGTGTTTTAAATTGAAAGAGTTTGTAACTTCCTCAATCGTTTGATGGCAGGGGAGATTGTTTTTATTCCCTTCCGGCCCTTCCTCTTCTTCTGCTTGACCCTTTTTGTCAAAGGAAGCATCTCCTTGATGGGACCTGGAGGTATTCCTTTCTTAAGTGCACTACCTCTAGGAGTAACCGAGGGTGGTAACCTCAGACTCTGGGGAGGCAATGGATTGTGTGGCTTCCACACCAAATTATTCTTCATGGAAAACCTTACCTTCTTTGCACTCTTCTCCATACTCATCGCTGCAGCATCACATCCAGCATTTTCTTCACTAATTGGATCTTGATTTCTGGTGTCCTGTCCATCCTTACTCCTCACTCTCTTTCTCTTCTTAGAGATGATAGTTTTAATAGTATTCTCAGGTGAATCATATGAACTCAAACCATCCTTATCCAAGGCAATTTCGGCAGCAACCTTCTCAAACTGCATTTGAAGATTCGAAATGACAGACTCATTAAAAATTAAGTTAGTCTCATCACTAGCTGTTCCATTGCTGAAACTCTCCCCATTGGCAATAATTGCACTCCCTTCCTCCACCTCCGCTGGGCATTGTTCAGAAAGCCCCTTATTCTTCTTCTTCTTCTTCATAGCCTTGTCATTGCTTCTATCAGATGCCTTCTTCACCTTTTTTTTCTTCTTCAAAGGCCTACTGGCAGACCCATTTGCATCTTCAGAGGCAATTTCAGTTGGTTCCAAAACAACCTCAGAAGCAGTTAATTCTGTCTCAGTAACAATAGGGATCAATTTCGGGACCTCATCTTCACCGTCAACAACAACATCAGGAATTGAAATCTCAATCCCAGACAAAGCTAAATCTTTCTCCAATCTCAAGAAAACCTCATGCAAACCAAACAGAACCTTCCGGTTTCCCTGTAAGCAATCAGGGGCTGAACCCAAATCATAAAACTTTGCAGAAAACCCCATTGTCAATGCTATCGTCCCAAGCGCTACAACTCTATCGTCCCCGGAATCAGCAGCTCCCAATTTCTTGAGCTCCAACAGACTCCTCCCCAATTTCAACAATTCATCAAACATATTACACTTAACTTTACCCAACAACACCTTATCCTGACACTTACTCATCACAAGAAGAAAAGGTTTGAATATAACGTCAAGGGTTTCAGACCTAATCGGAAGAAAACCCTCAAGTTCTTCAAGAAAAATGGAAGCAATATGATAATTAACACCGTTCCCAAGAAATTTATCATCAGCGAAAAACAATTTATCTTCAAAAACCCGCATTAATCGACGCGAATGCTCCAAATCCCAACAGTGATTGTTCTTCAACAAAAGGAAAGAAGAGTGTATGAAACGGCGAATCAAGAGATAGAACTTGTCTAACCTGAGGGAATCGATACCGGTCCACTCGCGACGCATGGTGAGGAAGAAGACGGAGAGGTAGTGGAGAGAGAGAGGGAGATCGAGGGTGAGGAGGAGAGAGGAGAGTCGGTATATGAGGTCGGACTGGACAGGGGCTTTGTCGGCGTGCCAAACGCAGTAGAAGAGTCCCTTCCAGAGCTTCTTCATGTCATCGTCGGAGACTTGGTTCGGTTTCTGAGAAGGAAGCCAAGTCTTGAGAACGAGCTTCAGAGCTCTGTCTCTGGTGGTCTTGCTGCAGGAAGCCAAGTTTCTTATCAGAGACGCGCCTCCGCCTATGGCGACTGTGGCTTTGTCGTCCATTTTCAATGAAGTCTTAGAGATTTGGAGCAGCCAATTGTGAAAACCCTAGTTCCCCCCTGGGATTTCTACTTGGCGAATAGGTCGAGGCCGCAGGGTGCCGTTGCAAATGCTTTTTTTTTTTTTTTTTTTTTTTCAAGGTTAATTACAATAAGACCTTTCAATTATTTTTTTAAATATATTATCTTACGCTTCTCATTTTTTAAATTGAACATTGTAACCCCTAAATCATAAAAACCGTGCAAATGCCAATTTTGGTCAAAGTAATGATACATCTCATTAAAAGTGGTGTTCTAAAGTATCATTAATGAGTTGGTAAGTATTTTAATCAAAAAAAAAAAATACAAGACACAAGCAGTAGATTCTATCCATTGTCATATCACTAATGGTGCTTTTAGAGCACCACTTTTAGTGGTCTCAAGCACTATTGTTTTGTTCAAAATTTATAGTTTAAGTGTAATATAATATTCACAAAAAATTAATTGAAAAGGTTTTGGAACAATTAATTTTGTTTCTTTTACAAAAAAAAAAGTTTTTTTTGTCTGAAAATAAATTTTTCAAAAAAATCCACCACAGCCTTCGTTTGGCATGCCAGACTTTTTAGATATTTTAGTCATAAAAGACAATATAGTTTTTATCCCAATAAGATAAAACACCATATTCAACCCATGATCATTTCATTTTTTCTCTCAAAAAAGCCAGAAAATATATTCCAAACAAAACTTTTTAGCCCCAAACTAAAATAACCAAAAAACAAAAAGCCAATCTACATCTCAAACGAATCCAAAATTGACTTTTATTTTAGTTGATTTTTTTTCTTAATTTTTAATATATTTCTTTATGAACTTTTATTTTAGAGTAATGCTAAAGGCTCTAAATGTTTTACTAAATATTCTATTAAATGTCTTACATGGTTGTAGAGCCCACACCATGTGAGTCCCAAATAGGTCACATACCCGTGTGAGTCCCAAATAGGTCACATACCCATGTGAGATATTTGATAAAATATTTGAGATCTCTAACATTACTCTTTATTTTAAAATGACAATGATTGTACGAGTTCGAAATAATCTTCCCGTATAATCCTGTTAATCAAGTTTGTACTCCTCTAAACAACGTTGCTTTGCCACCTGAAAACACAAACGTGAGCTAACCGGCGGGTGTATGCCGGAAACCTCTCTGATGCCTAAGTCAGCAACTAGACAATAAGCTCTGTGTATTCTAGAGTAAGAATTGGGATACCTAGGTCTGGTCATGAGCTTTTATAGAGTCTGCTTGACACAATCCTAGTAGGATTCTAACTCTCGCTATAAGAGTCCTCCTAGGAATCACACACCCTACTCACTACCAACCAAGTGAGATGGTTTGCACAATCCCAGTAGGACTCTAACTCTCTTTAGCAGAGTCCTACTAGGAGTCTCATCACTGCAAGTCAAGTGAGATGGCTGAACCCTTTACCTCGGTTATACATTCCTGACCAAAACTGCCTTATCTCGGTCCCCTGCCATTCGGACCGTTTGATTGGAAGCCAATCTAATGAATGCCACCCTGCCGAGCTACACATAGCTCGGCCCTCGTCATTGATGTTACCTCGGTTTTGTTTGTTTAGACCAAGCTAACTGCAGCAATCTCTGACTGAACTAACAAGGGCGAGGTTCAACTTGTGAAGCCCAAACACCTCGGCCCATAGCTCGGTTCACCTGGCCTAAGCTCGTTAGTTTTTAGACCGAGCTACAGCAGCTCCTATCGTAGTCTGATGTGCGGCCCAACTTCCAGCTCCTACCTCGGTCCGATGTACGGCTCAACTTTCAAAGAAGCCTCTTTCTTAGCTCGGCCCAATTTATTTATAAATTACCCTCTCAGATGACAATGATAATAATAATAATAATTTAATATTTATAAAAAATAGAAAATAAATAAAATAAAATACTTAAAACCATTTCTAAAACTACTTGATTGTTGAACTCTAAACAATGAGTCCTGACTTAGAAAGTGAGCCATCATTCCCTTAAAATAAAAAATTTAAACCAATTAAACGAGGCAATGCAGAAATAAATTTAGGGTCTTTTTACTTCCTCCAAACGGTTATCGATGACAAAAAACAATTGAATTATGACAAACGATAAAGAGAAGATGACGCATTACGAACATAAGCCAAATAGCCCAACCCCTCTCTCATTCAAACCCTTGGTTGTAAGCCCTAACTTCACAGTCTCAATTACTAATGGTGAATGATAGATGGAGAACGTCAAATAAAGAATAATGAACAACAACTTGCTATGGTATTGAATTCTCTTTATGATTGCCCTAACATTCCCTGTATGTACGCTGTTTCTCTTGTAGAATTGTGTGTGTAAATATACATGTATTAGTGGCAAGTAGTTTGGCCAAAAGTATTGTATTGTTATATTGTTGTGTGTGTAAAAGAAAGAGCATCTGTGATTGTTGGAAAAATGATTTAATATAGGCATATTTTTGGTTAACTTTGAGCTCAAAATTAAGTGGGCCCCAAACGTCTTTTGGGGTGGGTCCGAAGAGATGAAGTATTCCTTGCCGCGTGGCAAGTCACACGATGAAGACGGAACGTCAAAACTATTTATGAGTGAACGGGAAGTTAACATTGTTTTTGTGTCTAACATTAATTTTTTAGACACAATTCATTTGAATTTTTTTTTGTCAATAAAAAATTATTGTGAGAATTTAATTTAAATCTAAATTCAAAATTTTGATTTCTTAAGTGGTTTTCTAAAAATTGTATCTCTTCGTTTATTGATTAAACTATTCAAATAGTTTAATAAAAAATATATATATATTCCAACAGCTTAAAAACTGTTCCACCAACGGATCCTTTTTCAAACTGTTTGAAAAATTGTTCTTAGCAACGGACAAATCAAATATTCAACAGTTATCTGTTTGAATAGTGCTTGCACCTGTTCAATTTAAATGTGCACCTATTTACTTCAATTTGGTACCTGTTCAGGTCAGATTTTTGCCTATAAATTCAGATCATTTTCAGCAGTCTTGGACACCGAAAATCAGTCTCAAAAATATTATTTTGCTTTCCAAACTTTTATCTTTAGTGCATTATTCTTCATATTAGTTTTAGAATAAAATTCAGAGAGTTAGAACACAGGTTTGGTTCGCCGTACAAATTTGTTTGGAGTGCTACTACAAATTTGTGAAGATCATTGTATCTTGGGAGATAGATGCTATTAGTCCGTAAGTACCGAAGCGGGGCGAATCTGTCTTAAGGACAGAGTGTCACACACTCGACTTGGTCTTTTAATTTTTATTTGGTTGGATAAAATAAATTCTGTAAGTTATTTATTTTATTTATTTGTTTCGGTTTCATTTTATTTTATTTACACAGAAGATTGTTCCAACAATCTTAAGACAAATTCGAATTATTCTGTTTACAGAATTTTTCGTTTGTTTCCTTTTCTCTTTCTTCTTTTAAGAAAATTATTTTCTGTGGATTTACAAAATAATATTCTTGCTGGAAAAACAAATAGTGATTATATGCTATTTGACAGATAGGAGTAATATACTGTCTATTTTTTTTTGACAACTAGTAGTAATATACTGGTGTCATTAACAATTCAGAATAAATTTTTGTGAAATTTTTTCAGAAATTAATTTTGATTTTTAGAAATTATATTCTGAGTTTTCATTAAATAAAATTCTGTTTCAGTATTTTAATTATTGAAGTGTTACAGAAATTTAATTTTTTGTGTGGAATTAATTTGGTTAAATAAAATTTTATTTTATTTCCAAATTAATTGAAAAATAAAAGTTACATTCTTGTTTCTTTTATTTTTACAGAATTGAATTCTGTAAATTTGGATTAATTTTCTGTGTAGTATAAATTCTAATTCTAATTTTGTTTTATAATTTAGAATAGATGGCTACTGAAACGAATGCCCAAACAAGTACTACTGTGGTGGCTGCAATTGCACCAACCCCCTCTCCTGTGATAATAGTACCGGTAAATCACGATGAGAAGCCAGAGAAGTTCTCAGGAACTGATTTTAAAATATGGCAACAGAAAATGTTGTTTTATCTTACAACTCTAAACCTGGTTCGTTTCCTCCGTGAGGATGCTCCTATTTTGAAAGAGAATGAAACCGACCGGCAAGTGGTTGTTGCGGTCGATGCTTGGAAACATGTTGATTTCCTTTGCCAGAACTACATCTTGAACGGACTTGACAACACATTATACAATGTCTATAGTCCTATCAAGACAGCAAAGGAACTTTGGGAGTCTTTAGAGAAAAAGTACAAAACGGAAGATGCCGGCTCAAAGAAATTTGTGGTTGGCAAACTCCTGGACTTTGTAATGGTTGATTCTAAAACTGTGATCAGCCAACTTCAAGATCTCCAACTCATTCTGCATGACATTCACGCAAAAGGCATGTCTCTCAGTGAGTCCTTCCAAGTTGCAGCCTTAATTGAGAAATTACTACAAGGCTGGAAGAAATTCGAAAACTACCTCAAACACAAGCGCAAAGAAATGTCTTTGGAAGAATTAATTGTGCGTTTGAGGATTGAGGAGGACAACCGCAATTCTGAAAAGCGGGGTGGTAAGCATCCTATGGAGTCTAAGGCAAATGTGGTGGAATATTCTTCAAAAACCAAGAAACGAGTTCATCACAAGGCTCTAAAGGGGGGAAAATTAAAAAGTACAAGTTTAATGGCAAGTGTTACATCTGTGACAAAAAGGAAAATTGGGCCAAAGATTGCCGTAGCAAAGGCAAAAGCAAAAGAAAAACAAGCAAGAAGCCTGCTCAAGCCCATATGACTGAAATGGACAATATTTTCAATGGTGTAGATGACATTAATCTTTCTGCGGTGGTTTCCGAGGCAAATCTTGTCGGAAATCCTAAAGAATGGTGGGTGGACACTGGTGCTACTCGCCATATTTGTGCCAACAAAAAGATGTTCACATCTTATTCTACAGTGGACAATGGTGAACAACTTTTTATGGGCAACTCCTCAACTTCCAAAGTTGAAGGACAAGGTACAACGTCTACAGTCCTATCAAGACAGCAAAGGAACTTTGGGAGTCTTTGGAGAAAAAGTACAAAACAGAAGATGCTGGCTCAAAGAAATTTGTGGTTGGCAAATTTCTGGACTTTGTA